GTCTATACAGTGCAATTAAATGTAACCAAGCAAGATGCACGGGCGTTACTTCACCGTCCTGTTCAGATGTAATCACTTCTGGCTCCAAGAATGAGGCAGTTCATACTGCAGTAGGCGTCTTTTGCTATCACTCACTCACACACACACAATCAAAAGGTGATAACACAGCCAACCATGTTATCACAGCTGGTAATTCTTTTTAAAAGATAATTTTATGTCAAACAAAAGCTGAAATGAATGAAAACACCACTTACACTCACTTAGACAGAGTGGGTGTAAATATTTGCTTTGGTGTCTCTTAATATAGTCAAGTGTGAATTTGTTTGCCCTCTGCCAAAACCTGAAAGCTGAATATGACAGCTAGTCAATCCTGTCACAGCCGCGATGCAAAGTACCGCACAGCCCAGTTTGTGGTATCACTCTCCCTCTGTGCTCAGTCTGTTCTGTATAAGCAGAGCTGGCGTGAAGCCTCCTGACAGGCTGTTTTCAGTCTCGGCATCCTGATTATCACTTCGAGCTTCTGAGAAAAACAACGGTTTGGATGAAAAAACAGAGGCGGAGGAGAGAAACATGTGTAACAGAGGACAGCTGAGCTGAGAATGTAGGAAAGGACACGATGCAAAATCACTGGAATCACCTTTTGCTACCGCAGCGTTAATGAGCTTCATAAAGATAATGGCAACAATTTAATTTAGCACTTTTTTAGTACTTTAGTCATTTGTGTCTGAGAACGGTGTAAATGTTAATCTAGAAAAAGGCCGCAGTAGACGAAACTCCAGTAACAATTAATGACTCCTGATCAGCACTGACATTGGGTTTTTGTTAAATTCGCCCTTTATTAGACAGGAAACTATTTATGGTACCTTGATTTTCAATATAACAAGTAAAAAAAATTACAGAAAAAAAGTCTTGTATCATCCAATAACCTAATTTATTAGTATTTGTGAATGTGTGAAGTTTAACTTTCTAAAAAAATAAATAAATTTAGTTTTTACATTGTGACATTTTTTACTTTATGCATTACAAAATTTACTCTTTGTTACTTTAGTCTACTACATTTTTCTTCATGTGATATCAAACCTAAATACCTTACACTCACAACAGTCTAGTTAGTATAGCTCACCTGTTAAGTAACTATGCCCACTTACAAGAGGTACGGATATTTTTGTCACAGTATTATAGGATTTAAACACTGGAATGAAAAACACGTTCTGTCATTCAATAAACTATATGTTATATGCAATAAAAACTATATTTAATTACATTTAGCGAACATTTGATGAATATTTGGCAAAATATTTATCTGGAAACTTGTTGTGTTTCCAGATGTTGTTCTCTGACAAAACACACTGAGAACCATGTATGTGAAAGAGAATTTGGAGTGAGAAGCAGTGGTCGAGGTATATAACAGGGTATTCAACTAACTTTGATTTAAAGTTACAACATGTGAGACTTACATTTTCTTATATTTAATGCACACTAACTGCAGTTTTGATTTACAGTACAGTATTTACAGTATTTGGATGTATAGAATATGCTGTGAAAACTGAGCAACAAACTTGGTTTGAATGACCTCTTTAAGTTTGATTTAAATATACTTATCTAAAGTCTTTAGGGAAAAGCACATGAAACACAAAAGCTCATAATAATGATAATCTTACTGTAATTTAATAATATATAATAATCTTACTGAATCAATTAACCTCAGTTTATTATCTGACCTATATGTTTGTTATACAATCACAGCAGTAAGCTTTTACAAGCCTTACAATAAGTTAAAGCCTATGTTTACTTTAAAAATGAAGATAAACTGATGCTTAACCAATCAGAAGATAAATAATTGAAGCCCAGTCCAACCGTGGATGAGATACATTCCTTTATTGTACTCAAACGTTTGCTCTGTCACACTTCAGGAATGTCACATCAAAACCAAAATGGCTTTAAAAAAAATCTCAGCAGATAAAGCATTTCATCATCAGTGAACAAAAAAAAAAAACTAAACAAAAACTAAAATCAAATAAAGTTCTCAACCATTGCACATCATTTGGTGGCAGGAAATGAGGAACAAAACATGAACAAAAGCACAACAATCAACATAGTTTTGTAGAATTTAAGACTGAGGAGTAATGTGGGCTGAGCACCAAAAGAAAAGTCAAAATCAAAAGTAATTCCAGTTTTACGTTCTGCTTGTATCAAATAAGCTAAAATATCTGATTTGTAGATTTTATGACAGACGTTGGACAGCAAAGTGTTTTTTGAATTCAACAAAAAATAAAATCAAGGTCATATTCTGCAGGATTTTGAAGTCGTCACCTTAATTAACAAAGAGTAAAAAATAAATCTCACAGTCTGAGGCTGATCTCTGGACGGACACCTACTCAGTCAGCTGACAAAGTCTCACCTCCACCAGGCCTGAAACTACTCAGACGCTCCGAACTTCAGATTTATTATCATTCCCTAAAGGAAATCCTTCATCTGTAATGAAGAGCTTGGAACACCACAAGCTTCCAAAACTCAGAAATACTAACAAGCAGTTTCTGATTGATTTAATCAGTTCTTGTTAAATTTAAAACTCAAAACCTTAAAGTCTCCTCTCTGCGCTGAACATGAGCAGCAGGAAGAAAGCCACCAAGGCCTAGTTCACACTGAAGCTTCATTAGGTACTAATTAACCGCATATTAAGCATGATTTCACAGAGATAGAGAAAATCTGCCACAGAGGGGCATTCTCGCATT